AGGTGGGTGCTGCAGGAGGAATGATAAATACCGGCGAGTGAACCTCTCTTTATTCTCTGTCTTGGTTTCAGGCTTCTTTAAGTAAAAATCCTTTCTCCTCCTCTATGTTTTAAGAGCTGTGAGGTGGGGGGGGGGAGGTCCTGGAAAAAACTAGAGCCCTTAGGAGTGTAAATTTCACTTGCCCTTTTTCTCCTTATGGCTCCAGTAATCCAGACTGGTGCTAATTATGATGCTTAATAAGCATTGCTTATTTAGTTTGTGCTGCAGTGGAAAGAACAGTGTATGTTCAGTAGGTAATGATTTTTTGTGTATATGTTTGTCTTAAGTTAATGCTGGTGAAAGGTGCCAACTTGAGAGCCTTTGGGAATGTAGTTCTCCACCTGTTTGATGAACACCCAGTGCGCTGCATCAGTGGTGGTGTTCAAAGAGCCCGCTGAGGCTGGCCGTGTTGAAGTGTCAGCGATAAGGGTACATTGCAGCCTGTTCAGCCTTAAAGAGTCTAATCCCTGAGACGGGCAAATGAGTCGGAGTGGTCCTGTGTGGGGTTGCTCACTGGGGGCATGTTTATAGAGTTAATTCCACAGATGGTAGAGGAGGGAACTGCTGTGGTGTCACACCTAATGTCTTTTCCTTATGGGTAGTTGTTGTTTCTCGGGGACTTTTTGGCCATTAAAAAGTACTTTTTTGGCACTCAAATGTTGTTCTTTTTTTAACTGTTACTCCTTTACATCACAAAGCCTTTTTTAAAAATGCCTTTCACAGAAAATTGCCACATCCTTTCCTCTGCTGTGTTCAGGCACGTTTTACGTGAGTTATTTTAATCTTATGAGTCAGTCTTGCCTGTCACTTCTACCTCTTTGATTTTCTGAGAATCCTTAAATTGTCTTCAGGAGACTGAGGCCTACATCTCGCATTCTAGGTCATGTAAGCACTGTGTAGAAGGTAGGTATCTCCTTTCCCTGATCCACAAAGAGATTGTGCCTCTGAAGCAGTGGTTTTCAGTCTGGGGTTTCACAGCCCCCTGTTGCAGAAGTTTTGCTCTCCAAGTCTTGAGGTATTTATTTTCCTGTCTTTGCCAACACCCAGTTGTTACTAAGCCTAAGATGAATGGAAGGCTGCACCTCTTTTCAGCAGGTCACAAACAATGGTGAATGACCTCATGCATAACAGTTATGTTGGCAACAGCCTTTCAGACCGTTTCTCCTAAGCTTAGAGTCTTACCACTTTGACTACATCTGCTTTCCATGCCATAAGGGCCCTAAGTGTAAAAGAACGAAGAGCTCTTGAGTTTTCTGCTGGATCTATCAGCAAACAAACTGAATTTTCCTCCTTGCAACAGTGGATAGATGATACGTGAGGAAAACTTTCTCTTGTCCCTCATTTCATTTCTTCTACTGTCAGCTGGAATCCCAGACCAGATTTGAAGCCTAATGGGGTGAGACGCTCCATATTGTAATTAACACTGATTCAGAATAAAAACACTAGAACTATAATTATCTTGTAGCCAGTTGCAGAGAAAAGTGCTTAGGCTCAAGCTGGAGGCCTGGGTAGTTTGCGTGCCAGTAATGTAAAAACTTGTGACGGGAGAAGGGTTTGTGATCTTGGGTTTGGCAGGCTTGCTGCACGCTGTCCCACAGAGGGCAGCAGGAGGCTGGCTGCTTGGTTAGCATCAGTTTAGGAAATGCTCTTGCTGCCTGTGAAGCTGCAGATGTGGTGAATCACAAAACAAAGTGACTAGTAATCGGGAAGGGGAGGAGGTCTGCATGAGTGACTTGGTCGCCTGGAAAAGGGGGTTCCCAGGCAGATGAAACTACTCGCCTAGTCATCTTCAGCTTGCCAGAACCACTCTGTCACCCTCAGTCTGTTCTGATATTTGTTTTTTTTTTTTTTTTAGTATTGTGATAATTCATGCAATATCTTTCATATGTGCTCATGTGCAGTGGCAAGAGTTCTTGTGCGCTTCCTGCTGGGCTGTTGGCTCTGGCTTGTGATGTTAGGTTCCTTTTCTCCCGGCAGGTTCCTCTTTCTTTGACACTGTATTCTCTTGGAGACCTTTCACTTTCCCGAAACTCTATATTGTGGTCCCTCATTCACTGCTCTTTTTGTTTGCCTACTGCAGCTGGCTGTCCAGCCAGTTCCTGGCTTTTTGGCTCAGTTACCTCTGCTACTTTCTCTTGAAACAGGGCTGGCATCTCTTCTCTTGACATCACCTCGGACCATGCATCTTTTACGCAATCCTCTGGATTTGCAACCCTGCTGTTCCCCGACCTTGGCTAATCTCTTTCCTTTCACAATAGAAGTATTCTAAGTACCTTTCCCAGTGGAGGGTTGCAATTAGAGAGGCAAGTACAGAGTTGCATGTTTCAGCAGAGGGAGAGCAGGTTCAAGCTCCTTTAGCCTAATAGGAAATTTCTTCCTCCCTTTCATATGCAGTGCTTTCTTGTGGTATGCAGTCATCCACTCGAATTGTTCCTTTCCATTTCTTTCAGCATTTTCCTTTTTGCTGTAGGAAGACCTGTCTCTAGTGATCAAAGAGAATGTTCTATAACTAGAGGAACAGAATGAGGAAATAGGATATTGAATAAAGGATCAGAAAATTGTTTGCTAGATCTCTGCCACTGAGCATGTCTTGGAGCAATACTTCAGGAAATGCACATGCATACTTACTGCCTCAGTTTCCCCAGTTGTTAGCATGGAGTTGATTGCGCTTGCTTCCTTTGGGGAGTTGCCTTGACCTCTATATTCAAAATTTCCTCTCCGTGTTGGTTCTGTCATACCGGTAACAACTGGATCTGCAAGATCTGGAAGCAAGAGAAGCAAATGCTAGCGTTAGTTTGGTGAGCTGTACAGGTTGTTGCTTCCTTGTATTCAAACCCTCTTTTCAGACTGGGCACTCAAGGGATGTCTTGGTCTCTTGACTGAGTCGCCTGTGTTGCTCTCATGTCTGTTCTAGGAAGCGATGCTGCCCAGCTACCCTGCAAGGAAGGCTCAGCTGGATTTACTGTTGCAGATAGCGACTTCCCTGGAGAGTCTGGGACAGGCAGAGGATGCTCTGAGAACATCAGAAAACTGCTGCTGCTGCTGCTGAGGAACGGTATCTGCAGCAGGCAAAATAAAAAGAAAACAAGCAGGATAGAAACCCTAGTTATATTCTTGGCCTGGGGGCTGTTTATCTGTGTAAGCCAAAAACAGAACAGGGAGAAGAAGATCTGCCAGTTTAGAAAGAACTGCTTAAATTTACGAGGCTGAAGCAAGCATCAAAGGCCCCAAGCCCACAAGGGGGAGCTTCAGTGAAGTCATTTGTTGGTGAGCTAGCCCCAGACTGTAACAGATACCAGTAAA